TACAAAACAAAGTGGGAGTATAAGGCTTTCTGTATGAAGGTGTCATGATCAAATTAATTACATGCCGATTTGGACGAGTGTAGAAAAACAAACTGTGCCGGACAGAGAGAACTTCCGGGTCAGACTGCTTGTCAAAAATGAAATAATGAAAATCGTAATTGACAGCTCGTTATCCATTTTTTACATTTTCATTTTGTGCACTAAATGGGAAATCGGATAACAAGCAAAAAATCCGATTTCCGATTTTGGTTTTCTAAACGGAAAACAACAAAAGTCTATTTCCGTTTTCTCATTTTTCATTTCAAACAAAAAAACGAACTGCCAGAAAATACACGGACCCGAACCGTTATCCGATTTCCCATTTTGGTTTAATAAACAAAAAACGAGTCTATTTTTGTTTTTTCATTTCAAGCGACAAAAGAACTGCCTGAAAATACACTGACTCACCATCCACATGAGCTGTCTATGCTAACAAGTGGGTGGTCTTTGCAACCCAGTGCTGGGATAAAGGGCAGGACTCGGTGCAGTGTTCAGTCTCTGACATACTGACCTTCTTGCAGGCATGACTGGATAGGGGATGGTCTCCGTCTACTTTAAAAGTGTACACTCCTGATCAAAAACTTAAGACCAGTCAAAAAATTGCAAGAATTTGTATGTTGCACTATTGGATCTTAAGAAGGTTCTAAGTAGAGCTTCACAATGTTAAAAGAAGAAATCAGCGTAAGAAACAAAAACTTTTGAGCGGGGAATTAATTGAAAACTGCATTTACACTCAAACATGATTTTTTTCAGCTGATCAAAAGTTTAAGACCATAACAAAAAAACAAAACCCAAAACGGAAATCAAAGTGTAAAAAAAAAGGACTCAGTAATGAGTAGCTCCACCATTTTTGTTGATGACTTCAAACAATCGTTTAGGCTTGATGCCAGTGTTTCCAGGAGGCTAGTGGGAACGTTGCTCCAAGTGTTGAAGATGGCTTCACGAAGGGCATCCACTGTCTGGAACTGATGTCCATTTTTATAAACTTCCCTTGCCATCCATCCCCAAATGTTCTCAATTTGGCTTAGATCCGGGGAACATGCAGGATGGTCCAAAAGAGTGATGTTATTTTCTTGGAAGAACTCCTTTTGTCAGGCGGGCATTGTGAACTGCAGCATTGTCCTGTTGAAAAACCAGACGAGGGCCCTCAGTCATGAGGGATGCCCGCTGCAACATCTCCACATAGCCAGCTGCTGTTTGACGCTCCTGCACAAACTGAAGCTCCATTGTTCCATTGAAGGAAAACGCACCCCAAATCATGATGGCGCCCCCACCACTGTGCCGCGTAGAAAACATCTCAGGTGGGATCTCCTTGTCATGCCAGTAACGTTGGAAGCCATCAGGACCATCAAGGTTAAATTTTTTCTCATCAGAGAAGACAACTTTCTTCCACCTTTCAATGTCCCATGTTTGGTGCACCCTTGCAAAGTCCAAACGGGCAATTTTGTGGCGTTGAAGAAGACGTGGCCTTTGAAGACGTTTTTTGTTTCTGAAGCCCTTCTCTCGCAGATGCCGTCTGATGGTTATTGGGCTGCAGTCAGCACCAGTAATGGCCTTAATTTGGGTAGAGGATCGTCCCGTGTCTTGACGGACAGCCAATCGGATCCTGCGGCTCAGAGCTGGTGAATTTTTTTTGGGTCTACCACTTGACTTTTTTGTTCCATAACCCTCAGGATCATTTAAAAAATGCAAAATGACTGTCTTACTGCGTCCAACCTCAGCAGCGATGGCACGTTGTGAGAGGCCTTGCTTATGCAGCTCAACAATCCTACCACGTTCAAAGTCAGTGAGCTTTTTTGCTTTTGCCATCAGGAGGTCTTGACAGTGTAAAGACTTGACAGAAAATGACATGGAATCCAGATTTTTGCACAGCTTTTGGCTTTTAAAGACTATGGTCTTAAACTTTTGATCAGCTGAAAAAATCATGTTTGAGTGTAAATGCAGTTTTCAGAAAATTCCCTGCTCAAAAGTTCTTGTCTCTTGCACTGATTTTTTCCTTTAACATTGTGAAGCTCTACTTAGAACCTTCTTAAGATCCAATAGTGCAAAATGCAAATTCTTGCAATTTTTTGACTGGTCTTAAGATTTTGATCAGGAGTGTATGTGGCTGCTATTTCCTATTGGCATGTTGAGCTGAATGGTTGTTCGGTGGGCTGAGACAAGGATGTTGTACTGTTTTTGAGAGGTGCTTGGCATTTGCACCCACCCAACTGCCCTGTGGCACCGGCGTGGGACCTTTTTCTGGTGCTTGAGGCTCTGTGGTCCCTCCCATTTGAGCCCTTGCCATCTGTGGACCTCAAATGGCTCTCACTGAAGATGGTGTTCCTTTTGGCGATGGTTTCTGCAAAACATGTGGGGGAATTGCAGACTCTCTCGATAGCTGAGACCTGCTTCAAGTGGAATCCAGATGTCTCAGGTGTTACACTGTGGCCTGATGTGGCAATTATTCCTCAGGTGTCACTGACAGCAGGCAGTACCCAGCCGCTCCATCTTGCCCGGTTTGACACCTGATGCTCCTCTGAACAACAGTGCCCTATTTGTGCCCTGGAGACATATATCAATGCCATGGCATCTTTCTGAAAAATGAATAGCCTTTTTGTTTGCTTCCTGGGTTCCCGGAAAGGTCAGGCACTTTCTAAGCAGCAACTTGCACACTGTGTTGTGGATTTGATCGCCAAGGCCAATGCCTTTCAGGGCCGGCCACTGCCGGCAGTAGTGAAGTGCCACTCTACAAGGGGTCTGTCCCCGGCAGGTTAATGACAACAAAGGTGACTTTGTATAAGAATGATCCTTTGCACAAGAATGATCCTTCAGTGCTTGAAGTACCACCTCTGGCGGTCATCCGAGATTCATAGAACTGTAGTAACTTTTGTTATCCCTGATGCTGCTGCATCTTTTCCTATAATACTTTCTTATTCTGCTCAACTTTATATGCTTGGATACAGAACTCTGAGAACGGCCACTTTCTTAAGCTATGCTCTCTTGTGTATTCCCATCTTTGTGGAAGGGCTCTGGGACTGTTTTCTTCAGATTTGCCCAGTCAGCAGTTTTCCCTATGATTCTGTATCCTATTGAACCAGACTGAGAGACCATGAAACCTTTGCAGATTTTTCATTTTTCAGTTTTTGACAATTTTCTGAGAATCTGAATTTTGGCTTTCATTATCTGTAAGCAATAATCATCACAATTACAAGAAATAAAGACTTAATATTTCACTATGTACAATAAATCTTTGAGTTCCACTTTTGGAAATGAGTGACAAAAAACAACGAACCTTTTCACAATATAAAATTTTTTGTTGATGTACCTCTATATAGCTGCATTCAATACATTAAATTATTGAAAGGTTAATTTATTTCAGTAGCCCAACTATTTAGGTGAAACGCATTATATAGATTAGACAAAGATTGATGTTATGAAATATTTATTTCTGCTATGATGATGATCTGTGCAAAGCTAATAAAAACATAACATTTATTATTAGAATATTACATCATACCCACAAAAACATTTTTAATTTTGTTTTAAAAATATGGGCCTAGAGAAAAGTACATCTATTAAGTGATTAAAGGTTATTTTCAAAAGGTGATTTTAAAAAAAGAGAGGGAGAGAAATAATTCTACCTCAACAAATACATTCATACGATTGAGGGGCCTACATCTGTTAGATTGAGCTAGTTCTTCACTTTTTGAGCAAGGGGGCCAGGTGGTTGAAAATGGTTCAAGTCTCTAGGGTGGATAATGTAAGAGAGAGAGGTTTGTAGGACAGCAATATCCTACTTTCAATGGCCCAGTTAGGAGAAAATGAAAAATCACCAATGGGAGTGGTTATACACTCATGTCACTTTTTTCTTTGCTCCTGCTGCTCTTCCTTATGTGTACAATATACTTTTAAAACGGTCCACTGTGTTGCTAAGAAATTTTCTGGGGTTTCTTGCCTTTCTATTTGTTCTTTTTAAATGTGCTCAAGTGGAACTTTGTCGACAGCTAATACTTTCAACAGACCTTGAATTATCCTTGTTCATCCTTGTTTAACTCGAAGCGGTCTTACAGGGAGAGTCTATAATGAAAGAAAATGGACTAAATTTATACAACAATTTTCTACTCATTAGAGTCACATTCACCCACTTATAAACATTCATACACTTTGCCCAGGAAGAAGCTGGAATTGAACCTGCAACTTAAAGATTTCAAGACTCATCCCACTAAGCCAAAGACAGCCGTAAAATGCCACAAAAGGGCATATTTTATCTAGTTCAGATGCAAAGATGTTTTTTTTGTTGTTTTTTTTTCCACTTTCAAAGTCAGCAGAAAGCTTTGATGACTGACATCAGTAGCAGAGAAACCTCACTGAAATTACTTGAATAGTTTTGTTCCTGATGTCTGGGCAATTACAGTTGGCATTTTTTTCTTGCTCTTTAATTCTACTTATTAAGGCTTCTCCGTTTTAGCACACTGTTAAAGGTGATCTGTCTGAAATTCTTTTATCACTATGTACAATTACAAGGGTCACCTCTCACAAAGGGAACAATTATTTAAGAAAGAAGCATGGCTTTATATTGATTGTTTTCTTTAATTACTTAAGAATGATACTTCTGAATATGATAAAGATGCTTTGCAAATGTTTTTGAGCAGATTATGTACAGCCTTCCATTTTCCTAAAAGTGATTTTAAAAATAGTGGATTGAACATCCTAAAGTCCTGACCACTGAGACATAAAACACACACACACATATGTAAGCAAGCATGTTAAGATGGCTTGTTTTCTTCATATATGTTCCATCTGTATGCCTCTTGATAATAAAAAGGACCAGCCAAGTGGAGAGTTGTTCCACATTTTAAGGAGTTTTTTATTTTTTTTTTTTTTACTAATTTGACATTATAACCACCACTTATTGTCTCCTATTTGCATTTGACAACATGAATTTGTAAAGCCTCCTCACTTACGAACTGTTATTTTAGGTTTCTGAACTAGAAGCCCATGGAGGCCAGGGACCCAGCGAGCTGCTGAAGGATGAGCTAACCCAGTCCCTGGAGGAGCTGGAGGCCTTGCTGAAGGCCAAAGATGAGGTTGGAAAGTCCCTCATATTTCCTCACCGTTGAAATAATTATCTGCTCCAAGTAATGTGCACATCACAATAAGTGATGCAATGTGTTCCTTTCATCTGATTTTCAGGAAATTCACATTTTACAAAGTAAGAAAGCAGAGTACCATGAGATGGAACATGAGCGGGATGAAGCCATTCTCAGATTAAGGGTAGGCGTGACAGACAATGAGCTAAATGCATAAGTACTAAATAGCCAGGTGTTAGATGATGCTCAACAGTAGTGAGGACACTTCCTCTAATGCGCTAACAGCAGAGCTAATTATTTGTTTAGCACTTTTCCAAATGTGCTAAACATTTAAGCATATTTAGATTTTCCTAAATTAATTTTTTAAATTCTACAGCACTAATTTACTTTGCTGTTTTGTAAACTGTTGAAGTTTTAATTATCAACTGGTAAGAATTCTTCAAGTGGTTCACATTGCAAAATTTTAATATTGTCGGGGGATAAAAGACCAAAGAAAATTTAGCATTTCATCGTACAGTGTATGATGTCCAGCCACATGGCAAGAGCAACACACCACACACAAACCCATTTCACTTACCAACATTCAGATGTCAGATGGGAAAACTCACAAAACCTCTCAAGACCAAATTTGAGCTCAGAGCAAACAAATATGGCCAAAGCGACGACGATAGATTTTGAAATATATTTAACAGAGCAAAAAAACAATACAAGAATGTCTCCAACATCTACAGGACTATTTGGTGCTCGGTGGCAAGTTTTTGTTTTCTCTGTATCTTTTGTGTACATTTCCCTCACTTTGCTTTCTGATTGGCTACCTGTCACATTCAACAAGCTGCATTTATATTCGTCGTCTGTAGGGATGCTCCAATCAAGTTTTGTCCTGCCGATTCTGATACTGATCCTCCATGAGGGCCGATCACTGATAACGATCACATAGATTGGTTATTTGTTTTTCTATTTAAGTATAAATGCTATTTGATCTGGCAAAATGGAACCATAAAATTTAGAGTGTTTGTTTACTCTAAATTCATGTATGATATAGTGGGATTTTCTGTCTGGAATCTGAATGTCAGTGAAAATCGGTTTGTGTGTGGTGTGCTCTTGCCGTGTGGCTGGACTCCACACGTGGTACAATCAAACACTTTATACCCATTTTCTATACACCCTTGTCCCTTGGAGGGGTCGGGAGGTACTGGTGCCTATCTCCAGCTAACGTTCCGGGCGAGAGGCGGGGTCACTCCGGACAGGTCGCCAGTCTGTTGCAGGGCAACACAGAGACACACAGGACACACAACCATGCACACACACACACTTGCATCTAGGGACAAATTAGGAGAGGCAAATTAACCTGACAGTCATGTTTTTGGACTGTGGGAGGAAACCGGAGAACCCAGAGAGAACCCACCATGCACAGGGAGAACATGCAAACTCCATGCAGAAAGACCCCAGACTGGGAATCGAACCCAGAACCTTTCTCTGGGTTCGATTCAAGGCAACAGCTCTACCAACTGCACCACTGTGCAGCCCCCCTAAGATTATACATAAAGTCAAATAAATATCACAATAGTCTACATCAAAATACTCTTAAATAAAAAAGGAAACTTTCATTCAAAGTCAAATGCAAGTTGCATTCAAATAAATAACCCTGTGTCACTAAATCAAAACTGCCTGATAGCATGGCTAATTGTTTTGTTTTGGTTTTGATCGATCGTTATGACCAAGTGGTGTAATTCTGCAGAACACACATAAGAGGCAGAG